CTGGTTTGGCAGCTGATGGAAGAGCCAGCGCTGCTACCCCCTAGAGAAAGGGGGGTTGGTGAGCATAATGAGAAGGTGGCACAGTCCCCTAGTAGCACTAAAGAAAGTATCTAATGTGCATCATAAACAGACCCATTGATTTAATTCAACATTAATAATGAATTTCTTGTGACCTAGATCTAAAATAACTCTCATTTCACTATATTGTTATTTATGATACATGGAACTGAAAACACACACAGTGATGCAATATAATACTGACTGGCAGAATCCTTTGTAGAAGAACGACTACTTTTAAATCCATTAATGAGTGGCCCAGCAGATTAAAATGTTCCCCTACAGGTTAATGCATGTTACCATTTATAAGGTCTGACTTGTGTCCATTTATCCTTTGTCAAACAGACTGTCCGGTTTGGCCAATATACATGGCAGGGGGCACTGCTGGCACTTGATGGCATAGATCACGTTGGTGGATGTGCAGTTGCATAAGCTTCTGATGTTGTGGCTTATATGGTAGGTCCTGTGATGGTGTTGCTTGTATAGACGTGTGGACAGAGTTGGCAGTGGGGTTTGTTGCAGGGGTAGGTACCTGAGTGAGGACATGGGAGGCTGATATGCTAGGTGGGGGAAGGCATTGCCTTCCCAAACCACCAGGCTGGCTCCACTCACATTCCGTTCCCTAGAACGCCTACTGTAGTGGAACGTTGCTGCCCTTAGCGCCCGCCCACCCCTTGCTCTGACCCGGGAAGGCTAGGGCTGCGTGCCTTCCCTCCCTCCCCTCTGTGCTGGGAGGGCGGCATGCTGCCTTGCCTCTCCATAGTGTGGGGTGGGTGCGAGGAGGTGTTGTGGCTCCGGTGGAGGTCAGGGCCTCGTCGGAAGGGGCAGAGCTGGGAGCAGGGCTGGGGATTTGCCTCCTCTCAGCCCTACCTTCACCCACTGCCCATGGGTGAGGATGTCTGAGGTGTGATGTGAGGCTGCTGGAAAGAATTAACTTCAGGTTAGAGGGTTGTCTGTAGGTGGGGACTGGCCTGTCTCCCAAAGCCTGTGAGTGAGAGGGGTCATTTTCCAGGACAGGTTGTAGATTGGAGGGGTTTAAGCTGGGGATTGTAGGTGATGACTAGTGGTGTTCTGTTATTTTCCTTGTTGGGTCTGTCTTGAAGAAATAGATTCTCAGTGTCACTAGCTGGGAGAGTACACCCAGCAGGTGTGTGGATTACAATAACACCCTGTTTGTTATTATAATAAAGTTAGTTGATTCTTGAGGGAAAATATATAGTTGTCATTGACTTCTTTTTGTTCTGTGGACAGAGGCTGTCAGTCAGTCTGGCAAACACAGAAGCTCTAAGGATGTAAAGCTTCATAACTTATATTTGTTTTTCAGTATTTGGAGGTACCAGATGGAAAGCTATAAATATCTTCCTAACTGCTTACTTGTCTGGCAGGCTGATAAACGTCTGTTTTCTAAGGTTTAAAATATATCTGATGTAAACAAAAATTGTGCCATCACTGAAGGTCTTTGTTGTAGTTTCATTCAAAATGTCATTTTTTAAAGACCTGCAGTAAAATCCTATGAATGCTGACTGAAAAATCGAACAGTTGGGTTTTATTTTTTTCCATCACAACATGTTTTGGTCAAATAACAGTAACAAAGAAAAATACAATTTATTTGGAGAGCTGAATATTTATTGGCTAAGCAATTGTGTCACAATAGCCTAGGAATAATTTGAATAATACCATTGAGAAAGCAGGATTTTTATCATAGAGTGAGTGGAGCAGGTTCTAGGGGCTACACTCTCTTCTTGGACAATTTTCTCATGCTCTCTTGCCATCTAATCCAGAGCAAAAGTTGGGCTGAACAATATACATTGTGCCACATAGAAATAACCAGATGTAGAGTGTGGTACAGAAATCGCACTGCCTCAGGGAGACCAAATATGCCTCAGAAAGGCACCGTGCTCCCCAGATGTGCTGAGTTGTGTGTCCAAAATTTGGGACAGAGCTTTTTGTGCAGCAGGCCTCTCCACATACAACTACTCCACTTTGAAGCTAGTGCATGAGGAAAGAGAAAAGGGAGGCTTGGCTCTGCCTGATTCTTTCCTTCCATGCTTCCAGAGGGAAGATTATGAGGTGCAACACATGTATGGGGGATCTAATTTTGAGGGCTTTTCCAGAGAGAAGCTGGTGAATTCTTATTTCCTCCAGAACAGCTCTAGATTTCAAACATCAGTTCAAGAGTCGTCAGATCTGCTACCCTGTAGAAAAATAGGCATTTGCTAAATTCAAACCTAGACGAAAGATCAGATTGGGGGTGTTTAAATCTGGAGTCTTGGTTCAGTTCCAGTTTCCAGCAAGCATTCTACCCCAGACTAAGGTGTTTATGATTATTACTATTTCTTGATGGCTATTTATACAAGATCCAAAGTGTATATGAGAGTGGCAGAGGTGGTAGGGTGCCTGTCCAGATAATTTTGCCATTTCACTCAGATGGATACAATGTAGGAATTGTTTTATTTGGAGTACTTGAAAGTTTTCATTGTATTAGAGAATAGCTGGGAGATTACGGGGATGTAAATGCTTCTTGTTTCACTGTTCTGATTAATTTCATTAGGCCTATTAACTATTACTGTATAATAAATGCCTCACATGCATTTTTGTATTGAGAAGGAATCTAAAGGGAGTGCTGTGTAGATTTGCCAATGAGAGCAGCACTTGCTGAATCCCCTCTCCTAGTTCGAACTAGGGAGGCTAATGTAGGCATTCAAACTTGCAAATGAAGCCCGGGATTTAAATATGCCGGGCTTTATTTGCATGTTCTCAGGCGCCGCCATTTTTAAATGCCCCATAGTTTGAACTACCTGCCCGCGGCTACACGCAGCACTGACTAGATAGTTTGAATTAAAGCTCCTAATTCGAACTACTATAACTCCTCTTTGCAGTAGCCGTTGGCAGGTAGTTCGAATTATGGGGCATTTAAAAATGGCGGCACCTGGGAACATGCAAATAAAGCCCGGCATATTTAAATCCCGGGCTTCATTTGCAAGTTTGAATGCCTACATTAGCCTCCCTAGTTCGAACTAGGGTGGCAGTGTAGACATACCCTAAGGCTGTCTTGCATGTTACAGGTAGATATATGGTCAGTATTTTAATGTTACATAGGAGTGTGAATTTTTTAAGTGACATTTTTATACATTAGTAAAAGCCCTAGTATAGACATGGTATTAAAAATAGTGTTTGCTGATATAGTTTATTTCGTTCTGGGAACTGGTGAACTCTACTGATAGAATCATTCTTTTACCAGCCTAAGCTGCGTTTCATTGGCCATGACAGGAAATCTTTTCTAGCCTGAACTAGACGTTTTCCAGTGGAACTTTTTTGTTTTGTCTTCACAAATGCTGGCTTCTTGGCAACAAATGTTCTAGGTGCCCATATCAATTCTGACAAAATTCAGACAGAAGCCAGGCAGGTTTCCAGTCTATCTCTGCCTTGCCAGGCAGATTTAAAAACCTGCCTCCTTTCTTTCCAGCTCACGTGCTTGGCTTCTCAGCAGCCTGATTAGAATGGAGAGAGCCTGGAGGCCTGTTAGCCCTGGTTTGTGGCTCTTTTGCAGCCCAGGTTCCTGGGTCTTTCAAGATCCCAGCTTCATTGTAGCCTGGAAGGTCAGCTGCTTGGGTGTAAAGGCTCCCAGAGCTTCCAGCTCCTCAGCAGCTTCCTCTCCCAAATTCCTTGTGGGCTCTGGGCAACTGGGGGAGCCATAGAAAGTTTTAAATGAAACAGGTTGACTTGCAGGAACTGCTATTTTTAGTCCTGCACCCTGCGTCCCGTGAGCCCAAGACAAATGACCTTGGCTCTGAGAGTTGGTGCCATGGATTTTTCTTTGGAGTGTTAACCTACCCTTAGTCGCAAACCTGAGATATCAGTTTGCGTTCCCATCACAGGACAGACCGCCTGCCCAGCCCGGGTCAGTCTGTCCTGCTCTGGCAGGCTAGTCTCTACTACCTAGTGCTCATTTGATTCCCCAACTTAGAGGGGAAAGGTAGGCTTAGCATGTTCTTCTTTTATCTCTTTTTGCAGTTCTGTTTAATGACAGTGTGACTCCTTGCCTGTTGAAGATCAAGTGCCATGGACAGTGCGTATAAGGCAAATGCTAGGTGCTAGTAAAATAAATAAATGTCCCGTTACTGTGCTCTAACAAATTTTGGATCAATGATATCAGTGTGAACTTGTTCTCAATCAGTACTAAAAATAGGAGGGAAAGAAAAACAGTACAAGTGCTTGAAGTAGTTCTGTAAGAAAACAAGCCAAGCAAATATGCAAGTTATTTACCACTTCGGATATATCTAGATAGCTATATGTAAGTATATCTATATCTATGTAACAATTTGGGAGTGAATTCTGGATCACAAACAAATGCCAAGAAAAAAACATCAAAGGTGAACTGCTCTACAAGCACGCGCCACTAGGTGGTGGTAAAATCTCAAGCCTTCAGTAATGAAATGTGTGGGAAGAGAAGTTGGAGGCAAAGAAGGGGGTAGAGGAGGAGCCACAGATGGAGCACTGAAGTCATTAACTCTCTGAGACTATATAAGGGCAGTTGCACCGGTAAGTACTTTATACCTGGGCAGCCTTGGCTCTATGGATTTGAACATTCTTTTTCATTTAGCCCCTGATGATGGACAGGCAGGAGAGCTGAAACTTGTGGCAGCTAGAGGGAAAGAATACAAGCTATGAAGAGAAATAGGATCTGAAGGAACACTTCTGGTAAATAAGTACAACTGCCTCTCAATTGTATAGAAAATGACACTTTTAAAAATGGAGAGTAGTTTATCTGAAAAGCCTTTGCATTTTATTTTCACTGGGTGACTGACAGCAAGCTAGGTAGGTTGTGCTTATTAAGAGTTTTATTGCTTATGATATTCCTCAAAATGTTTTCATTAGTGGAAAAGATGCCTTGATTAAAATACCCATAATTTGAATAGCATACCCATGGTGATTCCATACCATTCCCTTGTGATTTTAGTGGGCAAGTTAAAATATTTAAATCTTAACTACAAGAGAATACAACAGTGTGAAACCTGAGCTATGTAGATTTGTCTTGTTTAATGGTTTAAAACAGTATTGTTAAACTGAGTATGTTAGTCTGGAGGAGATAAGCTGTTTATATCACAGGTTATGCAAACATAAGCAGTACAAAGGTCAGGAAAAACATTTAAATCTTGTGCTTAAAAGTCTCAATCCTTAATTCTTGCAGGAATTCCAATTTTATATAAGCATGATCAGATGAAAAGAGACTGTCTGATCTCAGCTATGAATGGTGTATTCTTACGGGTTTCAAGGCTGCCAGCATTGAGACACCTATCAGATACTATTTGTTGTCCTGTAGGTATTTAGCTGAAAATGTGTTCACCAGAATTTCCAGAAAAACTGTGTCTTTCCCTGAACACATCAATCAACATTGGTGAATGAACCAAAGTCTGAGGAGAAAGAAGAATAAAAAAGGGAATATATCTCTCTATTAGTTTGTGATTTTAATTCCCCTATGAGCAAGGATAGCTGGAAAAATCCTGTGAATTTATGTCAGGGTAACTTAGAGTAAATATAGAATGTGGAGTTGTTGAGATCTGGATATATATACTGAGCTAAATAGAAATATTTGATTCCATTTGATATTTGCTTTTCTAACTCCTACTTGTTTTTGTCATGCTGTCATTTTTTTTGGGCAGGGCTTCTTATCTTTCTCGAAAATGCATTTACCACCGGGTTTTACAAGTCCTTTGGAAAGAAGAGAGCATATTTGCTTCCAGAGATGAACTCATCCCACCAGCTACAAATTCCAGACCTTAACTTGAGTACTTTTGGCAGCAACTTTACTGTACCTACTGTCAAGAGCAAGTCATCACCATGTGAGCAAGTGGTCATAGCAGTGGAGGTGTTTCTGATACTGGGCATTATAAGCCTCCTTGAAAATATCTTGGTCATCTGTGCAATAGTTAAGAACAAGAACTTGCACTCGCCTATGTATTTCTTTGTGTGCAGTTTAGCAGTAGCTGACATGCTGGTCAGTGTTTCTAATGCTTGGGAGACCATAACAATATATTTAATAAACAATAGGCATCTAATTATGGAAGATGCTTTTGTACAACATATAGACAATGTTTTTGATTCATTGATCTGCATATCTGTGGTGGCTTCCATGTGCAGTTTGCTGGCTATAGCAGTAGACAGGTATGTCACTATTTTCTACGCCCTACGATATCACAACATCATGACAGTGAAAAGATCAGGGCTTATCATTGCATGCATATGGACATTTTGCACTGGCTGTGGCATTATCTTCATTCTTTATTATGAATCAACGTACGTTATCATTTGTCTCATCACAATGTTTTTCACCATGTTATTCCTCATGGTCTCTCTGTACATACACATGTTCCTCTTGGCTCGTACTCATGTCAAGAGAATAGCTGCCTTACCTGGATACAATTCTGTCCATCAAAGGACCAGCATGAAGGGAGCCATCACACTGACCATGCTGCTAGGTATCTTCATTGTTTGTTGGGCTCCATTTTTCCTCCACCTCATTCTGATGATTTCTTGCCCTCAGAACCTCTACTGTGTTTGCTTTATGTCTCACTTCAACATGTACCTCATTCTCATCATGTGCAACTCAGTGATCGATCCCTTGATCTACGCCTTTCGTAGCCAGGAAATGCGGAAGACCTTCAAGGAGATTATTTGTTGCTATAGCCTGAGACTCGCCTGTGGGTTGCCGAGCAAGTATTAGGAAAATGCATTTTTGAATGAGGAAACCAAGATGCAACATCATTATTGATCAGGAAAATCATGCATTAAAATTCTTAGCATCTTCTTGCCTATTTGTGCTGAAGGGACTATAAAGTGTCTTTCTACCTTATACTTGTAATAATGATAATATTTTTATTGGAAATTAGAAAGCTGTTTTCTAGTTTTATATTATTTGGTCTATTTCCCTCTCCATATACACCTTTAATTCTAACTGGCATTAATAAGAGTTACCATGTGCATGTGTATTGAGAGAAGAATAGAAAAGCTGGGGCCAGATCAAGCCAGGTATCTTATAGAACTAGCAGAAATTTCATCCTTTCCCTCCTTTTATGGGAAGGATTTATCAATAAGTAGGTGTGGGCAGGATATGCTCATTTGCCTCACTGCCAAATCAGTGAGCATTAACAGACACACAGCCAATACGTGAGGTTTTAGTTATATTTTCTTAGGGTACAAAAAGGCTTACTGTGATTATCCAGTGCAAGAATGGACAAGTTTTCTGCCAGTTCCTTCATTGACATAATGCTGATCATAGAGATTCTTTAGGTATTAAGTAAAAAGTATAATCGGTATATTTCCCGGTACATACATGTCAGCGAACACAATCATGAACAACGGTATGTATGTATATACATACAAATACCACCAATTTTTGTATCCCAATCGTGATTGTTGCACTCACAAAATACATACTACACAAGAGGTCAAATGTAACTGAAACATTTCCCAAAACTGAACATAGTATTTTGTGGCACCTGTCTCAATTTGTTCCACTGTTTTTATCACTGTATATCTAAGCAAAGGTGTACCGCATGCTGGTTTTAAGGATGTTGTGCTTCATACTGAAGGCAGTGTTGAAAATGGGTTTTTCTGGACCCTGAAATGAGTACAGTATATACGGCTTCCAGATAAACAAAGGTAACCCACATAACATTTTGTGGGGAGAAAAGGTTTGGCCAATAAGCATGCTAGAGGCAGCAGGAAGTTTATTAGGTTGGGGTGGATTTGGGGCACTTATTGGAGAAATTTGGGTCCTAGAGAACATCTTTCATGAGGGGCATTACATAAAGCAGGGAAGGTTGTCAAGGCATGCTGGAGATGGCTGCCAGCAAAAGATGGCTCCCAGGAACATGGAGAATGTACAACATGTTTACATGCAACTAAGCCAGCATCTGGTTCGGTTTTCTCTGAGCAAGCTGCCATTTTCATAAACTACAGCAACCGTCTTATAAGCCATTTGCATCCTGTTGTGTTCTCTCCAACACTGTATTCTGTAGTAGCTATTTAATGTGAAGAATAGTGGATTTGGTCAGAGATGAAGAAAGTACAATCCAAGAGCCACAAAATATACTAATTTTTCTTCCATGGAGTGATACAGATCTCCAGAATGTCCTCTTAAGTGCTGGATTTTTACATTTAGATGCAAGATACATGCAAATGCACTGAGGAAACAGTTCCATATCGACTGCATGTCTGAAATGTAAGGCCTTATCCAAAGCCCATTGACAGACACTCATTAGCCCAATTGACTTTGGATTAGGCCCTTAGATTGCAGCCTAATTTAGAAAATAACTTGGGTGTTTTATTACAAATTTCTATTTTTGCTCCAAACTCAGCAGCTCATGCTGAACTAACTTCAAAAACCAGAACTCCAGAGACCCACAGTATTAAGAAAACAGTTGAATATCTTCAGGTCTACATTTTAAATGTGGAGATTTGTGGTACTGTAATACGCTGTCATCAGCTTCCCTGACTTATACCTTTTTTTCTCCTCTGCAGTGGAGATTGGATGATAAAGCTTTGGACGTGTGTTTGGAAAATAGTCAAGTTTGCAAAATGAGAGCCATATACTGCCCTTGATCAGCAGCCTCAGCTCTCATTTACATGAATGGGCATTTCACTCAGGGTATGTCTACACTTGCTCCCTAGTTCGAGCTAGGGATGCAAATGTAGCTGACCAAAATTGCCTATGAAGCTGGGATTTAAATATCCTGTGCTTCATTAGCATACTCTCGCCTGCGTGTTATTCCGCTCAACAGCTGATTTGAACCAGGAAGTGCACTCTGTGATGCGTTAGTTCGAATCAAACTTCTTGGTTCAAACTAATGTTACTCCTCATTTGTTGTGCTCATATTTAAATCCCCGCTTCATTAGCAATTTTGGTCGGCTACATTTGCATCCCTATCTCGAACTAGGGAGCAAGTGTAGACGTACCCTTCAGAGTGGAGAGACCTGTAAACAGAATTTTAGTGTACAGGTTTTATCAGGAACCCACCAATACTTTCAGGGCCAGATTCTTCCTTTAGTTATTCCTGAGTATGGAATTTCACATAGGCAGAATCTCACTTCAAAATGCAGTTTGCTCCAGTGCCAACTTCACCATTTAAATCCCACTTTTAAGATGGATTTAAGGAGCATGGAGTCACTTTGCACTGGGGGCAATTTTACTCTAGGTAGGGAGAAAATGAGATAGTGCACTTAATTTGCAGCAACACCATTAAAGGCACAACATGTCATCAAATTACTGTGTAAATAAACCATGAAATTCTCATTAGGTAATTCAGTTTGAATATATGTATATATAGAGGTAGGTGGTATTGTAAATAACTGTAAATCAGTAAATAGGAAATCAAAACTGTGTACAATCTTTGGATATTTTCTTGAATTGTACATTACCTCAATTTTTTGTTTTTGCTCTGGAATTTTATTCAATGTAAAAAGATAAGTATCTGAGGTAATTATTAAAGTGAAGGGTGGGAAAACCCACTTGTTGAATATTCATTATAATGTATTTTCTGGAGTCTATCTGGAAAACTGATGGTATTGTTGGGGTGTTACTTCATGTGGCAAATTGGAAACAATTATTGGGGAAGGGAATATTATACCCCAAGATTTCATGTTCCAGTTTAAATTGATATTTAGTGGCAGGTGCTGGAGGGTCCATGAGGATCTAATGAGAAAGCACGTGTCCATCCTCTGGCACATGCAGCAGATGCAGGCCCAGATATGGACCAAGCTGCTGTAGCAGGGCCACAACATCTGTGCCACTCTCTGGGAGATGATGGCCTACCCTGCTCCTGTCTCTGACCACCCCATGCCTGCTCCTGCTCCCCCCTGCTATGCCTGACCTTGTTCCAGCCCCCTCCCCCCCTGCCTATCCCCCTGTCCTCCCAGGACCTCTCCACCCTCAAGGTCACCAAGGTCCCCAGACATAAGATGGAACTACCACCCAAACCACGCGCCGGTCTCAGTCCCAGCTCTGAGCCTCTCCTACCCCCTCCAAGGTTCTCACCCCTCACTCCCCATATTCAGGTTCTCAGCCCACCCCCTCCTTCCCAGTTACTTTTGTCCCAAATAAAAAAGCAAACAGTTATTTTTTTAACCAAACAGGTTTTTTGTCTTTGTTGGGGGGGAAGGGAGGGGTTGTTGTGTGAAAGGCAAAGAGGGGCAAGGCCCCTAGTGTGGAGGCCCTGGGGAGAGTTACTGGGTTATTGCATCCTTCAGAGAAACAATCCCTCAGTGCCTCATGGCTGGGCACCCCCACTTGATGGCCTCCCCCTTCCTCTCCACAATGTTGTGGAGAACACAAAAGGCTGAGACTACCTGGGGGATGTTTGCTCCTCCACATTGAAGTGAGTCAGAAGGCACCTGAACCACGCCTTCAAGCACCCAAAGGCACATTTTGCCTGGATGCGGACCCTACCCAGGTGGGCATTGAAACGGTCCTTGCTTGGGTCCAGGTGGCCAGTGTACAGCTTCATAAGCCACAGCATGAAGGGGTAGGTTGCGTCCCCCATGATGCACAGTGGCATCTCAATGTCCCTGACCCTGACGTTGCACTCAGAGAAGAAAGTGCCAACCACCAGCTTCTGGTACAGGCTGGAGTTGCAGAGGACATGGGCGTTGTGCACGCTCCCCAACCATCTGACGAAAATGTCACTGAACTGTCCACTGTGGTCAACCAGGGCCTGGAGAACCATGGAAAAATATCCCTTGTGGTTTATATACTGAGCAGCATAGTGTTCTGGGGCATGGATGGGGATGTGGGTTCCATCTATCACCTCTCTGTAGTTGGAGAGCAGAGGGCAGCAAATCTGGCCACGATGGGGTCCAGGTCTCCCTGGTGGATGACCCTGCACAGCAGGACGGTGCTTCTGGCCCTCAGCACCTGCAGAAGGAGACAAGCAAACACACAAAATAGAGAATCAAAGGGGGTGCCTGAGACCTTGGGAGGTCCCCAAGCTCTCTCTCCCTCCCCCCCACAAACCCTGCAGGAGCCACCTCCTATGAATCCCGCCTCTCCCTTCAGGGCTGTGTGAGGGTGGGACTGCAGAAACTCCCAGGGATGGGGCCTCCCCCCCC